ATGATCTGATAATTTTAATACATTATTATACCACTTACTTCATTAGTTAGATGTACAATCTTCTTGGGGATAAACTTTACAAATGTCTTGTATAAAGGCATCAAAAAGGCTACTTTTAATAGGGGTGTCAAAAGGAAATGGGGGTGCCAAAGTAGTTTGGAACATTTTTTTTTAATGTTTTTTTTTTTTTTTGGTTAAACCCCAAAAAGCCATGCCCCAATTTTTCTAATACGCCCTTTAAAATAAACCCTTTTCAGAATCTTTTTTATCCAGGCAATTCTACAATTTTTGGGTGGGGGTGCCATATGGAAGTCTTTCCTAACGCCCCCACGGCTGAAAGGCGAACATGTTTGGTGTGACGGGGATTCGAACCCGCGACCCACATATTGTGAGTCGAGTGCCCTAACCACTTGACCATGCAGGGCCCGTGCCGAAAGTAGGCGTGCTGTAGAGGACGCTGTGTTGAGCATGGACTTAAAGTTTGAGTAACGGAGTGAATGCTTCGAGTTCAATAGTTAGAAGTAATACTGTTTGGAACGATAAGTTTAACTTGAAAATGGCTAGTGTTGAAAATGCTATATATCTTTTACGTCAAATTGGCCGATATATGAAACGTTACGAAGAACTTTTAGCGGTTGTTGGTGCATTATATGCTAGTAAAATTACATTTATTGTTGCGTGGAAAGTACTTCAAGGCTTCCGTGTGTATATCCTTTCTCGTCTCCGTCAGCAAGATTTCAAGGGGTATGGAAAATGGGCAGGTAAGCCTAATCTTAAAAAGGACTAATACTAATAACGTCAGATTTGAACTGTTATTAATGTCGCTACCAGTGTTAGTATTCTTTTAGTTTCAGCTAGTATTTGTACAGAACAAATCAATACATGATATTAACTTACACTACAAATAGTGTAATAATGTACAATAGTATTAGTAAGTTGTCAGATTTTTGTGTGTGAAAAGACTACCACTATCACTACTAGTACTACTACTAGTATTGGTATTGACAAGTTTAAAAAATTAATAAAATTAAATAGAATTAGAAAACGTAGTCTTAAGCCATGTTAAGCCTTACTTAAGGTAAGCTGGTTAATTATTCTAATTAAAATACACCTGTATAGGCCATAAACATTTATATTAGGTTAAGCCAGTTACTTAAGTGTCAAAAAAATTAAAATTAAGTAGGTTAGAAAAACAAATTATATTTACATGCTACTCTACAGTGAAACAGTTTGTGTACATCTTGAATTTCAAAGCCTGTGTGGGCTTAGTTACAAGTAACAATGTAAATAGCTTTACTATCAGTTTACAGAGAGTTCATAGAAATTTTGCAATTTGTGACAGTTCACTGGAAATTGAATCTCCTCTAAAGTAGTCCAAAAAGATCAACCACAGTGTCTATCTTAAAACTATTAAAATTAAGTTTTTATTAAAGTCAGCTTGAAAATAGTTATAACTTATCTTTATAACATCACATTTAAAGATTAAAAATGCTTAAAATTCAAATAATTACTCTAGAATCTAAAGAACATGTGGTTGTATCAAAACGAGAAAATATTTTGCAACAGACTTCCATAAGCAATTTACCCAATTAGAAAAATAAAACTGCCTTAAATGGAGCCTAGCATGTTTTTCTAAATGATTAATTTCAGTATTGATACAAGTTAAAACAATATGGTATAAAAATAATGTACTTCACTCAAAAGCTAATAACTTAAAGTACTAGAATTATTTGGATTTTTGTTTTTACTAACATTTTGTGCTTTCTGCTAATAGTGACCTTTAAAAATTACTTTAATTTTTTTTTAATAGTCATGTTTTGAGTTTACTTATTGATTTTTTTTCTTCTTTTTTCACTTGTCTGGTCAGACAGTTAATGGTTTGAAAATTTCCCAAATCAGTCTTTTACTTGTCCTAGATATTCAGACAACTATTACTGTTCACTTATATTGTTTTGTGTATTTTGATACATGTATAGGTATTGTGTACACTGATTTCCCTGACATTAGCAGCTAGTTGTACTGACAAATTTATGTGTACATTGTTTGTGTACATACACACACAATCTAAGGACAACAAGGTACGTAACTATTGTCTATTCAAGCTATCCCTCATCATACAAGTATTTATCAAGCCTTCCCTTAAACTCCTTTAAGTTAAATTAACCTATTCCAAAGGCCAACCACCCTGTTAGAAAAATGAAACTATCTTAACTGAAAATGACTCGTACTCTGCCAGAATATATTTGTGTCCCCCAATCTTACCATTCTCATCATTAAATAGAAAAAAAAATATGATGAATCAACACTATTTATTCTTGGTTTTAAACAACTCAATCAGATCCCTGTATCTCTTCTTTCTTCTCAAGAAAACAATTTCTGAGATCTTAACTTCTCCCCATATGACAACTTTTTGTCACAGACATCATCCTAGTAGCCTTTCTCTGAATCATTCCCAACAAATGTAAGTATCTCAAGACTGAATGCAGCATTTCCTTAGCAATGACATTATGACCTCTTTAGACTTGTATTCAATATTTCCATAGATACAACCTAGATAGATACATCCTAGTAACAGCTCATTGCTTGGATGGCTTAATATACTAATCAACTAAAGATCTTTTCTTCTATAACACTGTTAAGGTTATTAATGATGACGAGAAGCCCACTTGAACTAAAAATGTATAGCAGAGATGGTTGGTATGGGTATTAAAAATTTTGATTAAAATAAAGTACAGGAACAATGTTTCGACCTTCTCAGGTCATCTTCAGGTTAACAAAGCATTCAGCCCTAGTAAATTACTTACTTATAATTTCATTCTGACAATTAGGTCTTGGTAGTACCCCTAACAGAATTAAGTTATTATGGTCCTGCTCTTTGAATGCTTTTATCATTGTTTTGTACTTTACAATTAACTACTCTGACCTACCCTTCCCTACACTATTAACTCCTATGTGCACTGCAAAAACTACATCATTACTTGCACCCTTACTATGTCACTTGTTCTGTGATTATATCCTGCACTCCAGGCTCTGAATAACATAATCTAATTATTTTCTTCCTATTTACTCAACTGACTCTTTTGTCTGTGTGTCCTGTTAACGAATTACCTATAGCAATAATGTCACGTTTTTCATTTCTCCCTATCTGTCTATTTTATTTTTTTTCCTTCTCTATTTCTTTATCTGCACAAGTTAAAGGTTACAATCTGCTACTTAATAACTAGTATGTGTGTAAATAAAGTTTCTGTTGTTGCACTAATTTCTAAAAAAAATGGTCCTATTATGTAAAAAAAAAAAACTACTAATTTTGTAATGTGTTTTTCAATTGACCAAATTACCTTCTGTCATTTAGTTTGTGTGCTTAATGTGTCAAAGGTAATTAAGTTTAATTTTTATTTATTGGATAGGTATTTGGACATTAAACACTACCAAAAACTTGGACTTGGGTTTAGGTTACTTTGTTGCCCTGTGCTATAATGTTTCATAGTTAAAAACTTGCATGTATCAACAGTCAAGTTACTATCTGTAGCTTATATTTTGTCATGGTTAAAATAATGACTGATTTTTACTTACTTTAAATGTGTCAGTGATTGAACTATGTAACTCATCTGTATTAGGTCTAGAGAAAAGTAACATATTTGTGATATTGACCTTTTTTGTCATGAATGTTTCTATCGGTTTTAAGATTTGTAATACAGTGGCCATTATTATGGACATAGTGATTGAATGGGTTTAAAAACCTTTATGGTGAAGCATACACATACAGAGACTTGTGTTTTCAACCTTGTATTTACGCTTTCACTGCAGCTTGGATGTATATTTCTCACTGCACTGTGAAATATACATCCCAACTGCAGTGAATGAGTTAAATTGTGACAATTAAACCCTACAAATCTGCATAAGTGTGTAGGATTGGATAGAGAAAGGAGGTATATTTTTTTAATAATATCACAAGACTGGATAACACTTGAGCAGGAAATATTTCAGTTTATTTCCATGTACATGTGCAAAGGTTTTATTCTAGTTGCTACACGTAGCTGTATGTAGAAATGCATTTATACAAATAGTATATTTGGAAGGTTTTCCTTGTTAGCTTAACACATAAACGTGTTTTTGTGGTCTGTGAATTTAAGATGAGGAAAATGTTGCCTTTATGAATGAAGGTTATATTAATGGTTTTTGAATTTTATAACCTTGGCCGTTATTCAGTTTAGGATTATAGGTGTGCTAATTTTAACTAAAGGTACTCATACTTGAATCTAATTTAATTATAGTGATATTTCCCATTTGTGTTTCTAACTATTAAGAAAATGTACACATGTTCTGTCACTGCTATACTTGTAGTTTAAGCATTCTGTGATTTAAAAATAAAATTTTAAAAAAGGATAACAATTAAATTTTTTAACCATAAGTAATGTTTCAATTAATGACCAGTGACTTAAAGTTATGGTAATTTAAACATTAATTAGTATTGTACAGAATTTTTAAGTAGCAGTGTTATTAGGTATCCTATCAACATGCATGTGCACATGTTAAGGTACAGAACCTTTTGATTTGAAGACCATTGACCAATACTTGTCAGTAATATAAGTTTTCATTATTTGTTTTTTCAATCTAATTTGGTCATTGTTTGAAGACAGTTGAGAAAAACTTTCAAATAAACTGGTACTTTTAATGTTAGATCAAGGATGAAATCAACTGTTAACTGAAGCCGAGGCATCTTTTCAAATGTGGCTTGTTATCTTGTCTTCATAAAATGGGACATAGGACTTAGATATTTTTATCCTACCAGTCTTCTGAATAATCTTGCAAATTTCAATGAGATCACCTCTTATTCCTACTTTCTCAAAAGTTATTTTTATAAAGAGATCCTTTGATTTGTAAATGCTAGGTATAAGAATAATTTATAAAATTATATTATTGTGCTACTAGCCACAGAGCACCACTTTAATGGCTTGAGTGACTTAGCTACCACTACTCTTTTGTCATGCCATTGAGTAGGTTCTTATCTATAGTAAACATGTGATCCAAATTATGAGAACAAATATTACCTTTAAATATACTATAATTAAGGGTCATTTGCCAACTATCTGACCAACTTTTCAATCAATCCCAGCCATTGTGTAGTATCTCAACATCCCCAATTCTGTTAGAAATACCCTATTGTTTAATGTGATTAGCAAACATTTTTAATTTACTAGTTATATCCACTTTAGTATGCATGTATTTTTTATGTTTAATTAATGTTAATGTATTTAAATAACCCTAAGGTATCATATTTTAGTTTTGGGATTGATTATATTAACATGTATGTAATTTTATTTGTATGCAGTTATTACAGGTGGCACTGATGGAATTGGAAAAGCATATTGTAGGGAATTTGCTAACCATGGACTAAACATTGTTATCATCAGTCGTAGCTTGGATAAATTAAAAGCTACTGCTGAAGAACTAGGTAAGTCGTATGCTGTTAATTGCATTTATAAGTTAATTATGATTTTGTGTGTGTAATTAGTTTATTTTTCTTTAGAATTTTGTACAATATTGCAGGATTTTTACATGCACATATATGTACATTTTAAATACTCTTCATTCAGATCTTTATTGTTCTAACAGTCTAATGTATCACTGTTGTCTGAGGGCTTGTCTTAATGTGACAGATGTCCTTTTGCCATTTTTCTTTTTTTTACATTTTGATATTCAGAAGTATTTATCACATGGAAAATATACTGCTACATAGAGTAATATGTATTGATTAAAGTATTTTGATCTCTGTTTAACAGCTTAACCAGTGTATTTCAAACTATTCTTTCTGTTTCCAACATGACAGTTTATAATTTTTTGTATTTGTATAT